TATAAATATTAATATTTAATTATTAATTATGATATAAACATATTATGTTTGTATAGTTGTAAGTATATATATATTTTTTTTTGTTTCACTCATTACATGTACTTGTAAATATCTTTAAAAAATACGATTGAATATATAATGTATTAGTTTAGATTAAACAGAAAGGAGAGCGGAGACAGCCTTCACAGTATTGCTATATATCTAGAACTTTTTCATTTAAAAATGCATACTGTAAAAAAGTGAAAAATATCTGTGATTTCTTAGGGAATAGAATCTCAAATAAAAATAAAATGTTTTTCACAGCCCGACTAGTTAGTCGCGGAAAATATGATAAGAATTTCATGTGAAAATTGAGTTATAATTGAATCATAAAATTCTCGGATATGTTGATATATATATTATTATCTTTGAATACAAATGAAAATTAAAATAAAAGTAATATTTAGGTATCAGTAAAATAGTTATATACCTACTAATAGGTGCTCTATTTATTTATTTATGCCTATTTATTTTAGTTTACACATTTGATTGATTCATATAGCTTATTTATTATTGGTTTTAATTTTTTTTACCTTAAATTAATGAGGGGATGAAACGATATTCTCGCCCTTCAACATTTTTATTGGTGGGGGAGGGGATCGCCCCCTTCCCTGTTCCCACAAAACAAAGTGGCCAGAATGTTTCAAGATGGCGTCCAATGGTGGCGGATTGACGCCTGTGACTTAAGTTAGTTTTTTTGTCACCGAGTATTTGATTTAATTTCATTAATCGGTGGAAAAACGGTTCTGTCGTGAGTGCGATGAAATTTTATTCTGATGAAGCTGAATTAGAATAAAATTTCATCGTACTCTAACTTTCATCCGAACTGCCCTAGCTCAGTTCTGGCAGTTCCTTAAAATGCAATCTTCTAGTTAGTTAATCATACTAATTTACCAAAAACGTTATTGTAGCATTATAGCTATGTCATTCCTGTGTATTGAATAATGTGGCAAAAGACAGTGGTCAATCACGACATAACCGCTTTTTCACCGATTAAGTGCATTTCATGAGGATCTGTTTCAAATATTTTAAAAATCGATAAGTGATTTAGAAAGAGAAATGTTTTCTTCAGATGCTTTATTTCAGCACTTTATTCGTCATTGTTTACCATTAAATTATAAACGACGCTTGATTTTCAACTTTTGTTTGAACGATTTGAAAAAATTGACTACTGGAATTTTTATTGCCTAAGTCAATTATTTCTTAATTTTTTTCACATGTTATTATTCTCTGATTATCCAGCTTTAATTATAACGAACGGTCAATCATGATCAAATTAAATCAAATACTGAATCTCAAACCAAAAAAACTAACTTAAGTCGATGTCGTCAATCCGCCACACTTGGACGCCATTTTAAAACATTCTGGCCACTTCGTTTTGTGGGAACAATGTTGTTGTTTTTTATATATAATTAATAGTTGCTAGGAACACAATAATATGCTATTTATTGGGATGTAGAGGGGTCTGGGCCACAGACTATTACTCGAAATAGTGCTGACATATTTCCATTTGAGACATGTTCCATTGCAGATATACTTCCATAAACATATTGGAACCGAAGATATAAAATAAAAACTATTGAGAAATTTTTCTTTATTTCTAGCTTAAAAAGGAATGAAAATTTCTTGGTGTGGTTTGGAAGAGCAGTAATTCAGTTTTTCAACGGTTGTGCTCATAGGCGCAGACAACGAGGAGAGGGGAGTGGCGGGAAGGGGAGCGATCGCCCCAATAAAAATGTTGACGGGGCGAGAATATCGTTTATTAATTAATTTAAGGTAAGAAAAATAAAATCAATAATAAATAAGCTATATGAATCAATAAAATGTGTAAACTAAAATAAATTAAGAAAAGTCGACTAGCTGCTTAGGCTAGAGCCCCTATTAGTAGGTATGTAACTATTTTATTGATACCTAAAAATTAATTTTTATTTAAATATTCATTTATATTCAAAGATAATAATATATATCAACATTTCCGAGAATTTTATGATTCAATTTTCACATGAAATTCTTATCATATTTTCCGCGACTAACTAGTCGGACTGTGAAAAACATATTATTTATATTTGAGATTGTATACGCTAAAAAATCAAAGATATTTTTCACTTTTTTACATTATACATTTTTAAATGAAAAAGTTCAATAAATGTACCAATGTTATGAAGGCTGTCTCCTCTCTCCCTTATGTTTAATCTAAACTAATACGTTATATATTCAATCGCATTTTTTAAATATATTTTCAAGTACATGTAATAAGTGAAACAAAAAAAAAATATACTTACAACTATACAAACATAATATGTTTATATCATAATTAATAATTAAATATTAATATTTATATATTATCTTTATATTATAGATAAATGAATTTTAAATATTCAATATTATATTTTTTCGTTTCACAATAATTACGTTGAATTTTTACACATGATAAAAACTCCCATCATTTTTTTTTTTTTTTATCCATCGTCTCCCTTCCCTATTCGGTTGCCCTAATGGTGTAGACTCGGCTTCCATAATCATATTGGAACCGAAGATATAAAATAAAATCTATTGAGAAGTTTCATAGAGAAGTCCTTCGAGAAACAGAAATCGCTTTCTATCTGCTTAAAGAATTTGAATCAGGATGGAGAAGGCTGGTTAAGTTGACAGAATATCTACAAGGTCTGCAAAAAAAAATCTAACTATATCAGATTGGTAAAAATCTGAGAACATATAATTAATCATATCCAATTTTTAACAATCTGCAAAACTTTAATTATAAAATCCTACTATTTTTATCGGGCTTTCTAAACCACCGGGTACCAAGGGTCCGGTAATCCTCCTACTTTCAATGTAGGGAGAGAGAGATTTTGGTTTAGGATGGTTCTTACTATTTAATTAAGTATATTATAGGTTAGAATTAATATTTAATTTGTATGTATTTATCTGTTGTTCTTAATATATATATATATATATATATATATATATATAAATACCTATGATCTAATCTAATACTTATGATATAGTTTTAATAATATGATTCTGATTAAATAACCACAAAAAGTATTCTATTGCATTTTAATTATAAATTTAAAAGCTTTGTTGATGAACGTTGGGTGTTAATAACAAAAATAAAAATCCCGTATGAGGAAAACGAAGTCTAATTATTGCTATCGTCGCATGTTATAAACATTTCGAGTACTTTCCGTGTCTAATTGTGGTAACGCGCCCAACTCTTCTAGTAAAGATAATCATACTTTACAATATTATTAATTTTATTTACTATTTTTGCATTTATTTGCACCTATCAACTGTTGTATGTTGGTAATCGCTAAATGAGCTAATAATAAAGGAAATAATGACATGTGAGGCATAGGGATGAACAGTATCAAGTAGCATCTCTTCCCTGGCTTGATTCAATTAATTAACGAAGGTGTTTAATGAAGAAGATCTCTCATCCAACTCCTTTTTATTTTCCTCCTTATGTGTTATAGGTGTGTGTGCTAAACTGGTGTAAAATTGGTGGTAAACGTTTGTTATGTGTTGGTCAACTGCTGAAGGTCAATATGAACAGTGTTGTTAGTCACGTAACAAAGTGTTTTTGTTGTGAGTTCTAATAATTTTGAATGTTAGAAGTTTTTGTAGGTGAGTTTTTTGACAAGCTGTTTATTTAATATAGCTTTGGAATGTGCCACCAGGGAACCGAGAATCCAGATAGGAGGTTCGATTTTCAACAAATCTTGCCATATCCTTGCTCATGCCTTCGATTTCGATGTCATTGGACGAAGTTTTTTGAGTAGGAAAAGTGTCTTACTAAATTAAAAAAAAAAAAAAAACCGCTAAAGTTGGATTCTAGGTGACGAGTCCAAAACAAAACTTGGCAATTCTAAAAAGAAAAGAATATCTAGGAGGGAACATAAAATTCGCAGACTTCAACTTCGAATGAGTCATGGAATTTTTTCACCTTGAAACACTGTTGAACTCGACCCATTACATGCAATCAGAGATTCAGCGGCGGATTATTGCAGCCGATAGATGCTATCACGGGATACAGAGGCATCTCTACAGCAGATTCCTCTCTGGGACCACCAAGATACGTATCTATAAGATCCAACTCAAGCCCGTCCTTCTGAGTGCTGGAGCGTATTGGAGTTATAAAATTCTGATAAATGCGATAAATGTAACAAAAAAAGAAACCCTCCAGAATATAAAAATAAAAGGAAAAATGTCTAAATTTTTCTAATAATGACAATATATATATATATATATATATATATATATATATATATATATATATATATATATATATATATAAGAAATTATTAACATCCAATATGGGTGTACATGGATCTTTAGAACTTCATTAAATAGACAAAGCTTACCGATCTCCAGATTGAAAACGTTAGGTTAAGATAAAGCCATTCAGAATGTTTTAGACGGATGTTAATAATTTAACAAAAAATAGTGCACCACGGACTATACATAATTTCGTCTAGTCACCAGTTTTACTGTCAGCGTATAAATGACACTGTCGATGACCAAAGTCCTGACAACAAATCAGAAATTGTCACAGTGTAAAGTGACTGACGAAACCAATAATGTAAGAGTGTTTATTGCGTATGAATCACGTCTATTCGACTAAGAATGAATTGCAAAATGGGATCAAAAGTTAATCAAATGAAAATAATCAGCTTATCAAAGTAATTTATGAAACTATATTTGTTTGATTCGGCTGAGATTTCCCTCTGCTACGACAGTGAAGGTTTGCAAGTTCGCAGTGATACCCAACCAGCCAGGATGCAATATCCTGCCTGCCTTATCAGTGGCTGAGAGACGCCGCTGATAAGACGAGACCCCCAACAGGACAGGTGGGACCGGAGGATCCCAAACTCCCGACTACGTCACGGACGTGGTGTCACGCCACATTCCACCAATGGGACGCCACCAACTTACCCCACTCCTTAGTCACTCGGTGGCGGCATTAGTAGCGTGCTAGTTCCTCGACTATTCGTCGGTTTCGCAGTCTCTTATCATGTTTCCAAGGCAACCGCTCTGTTGACAGCTCTCACGTGGTTTCATATCTGCCGGAACTGTGAGTTTCATAATAATTCTTTTTTTAACCATTGTTCTAATTTAATTTTCTGTTAATCATTAGTTAAAACTAGCAGTAAATTTAAAAATGAATTCTGATAACAAGCATACTCCTATAGGACGTCGCTTCCAGATGTATCGAATTCCTTCTAGCCCTGTTGTTCCTTTTACTGCATAGTGATATTTATTTTTAAGACTGGATTGTAGCCAATCCTGTCTGAGTGTAGAGCCGTTTGAATGTTACATATAGGCCTAACGGCTTTTGATTTGTTTGATTACCATTGTTTTATTTTTATTAATTAATAAAAACCACCATACATAAAATTTCACTATTTATTCTTCTTGAAATATTAAAACTCTCTCGTATATTTTTTTTTGATAACCAAATTTAACGAATATTATCGATTATTTATGAAATCATAGATATGAGTTTATTATTTATTTATATATAAATAAAAAAATCAATGACAACATGTCGAAGATATACAGTAATATAAAAACACCGGTATTTGAATTAAGATTTACTCACGCTTACTATTTACCTGTTCTAAATCTCCCAAGATTGATCCTAAAGAATAACAACACATATTTATTTATATGTGATAAGAGCTAAATTAAACACAGTTTCGAAGTTTATAACAATTTAAAAAAAAATGGTTTATCACTGTTGTTTATTCTAAAGAAGGTGCAACTTCATACTGAATAATGATGAAAGATAAATTTTAAAACAAATGAATTGACATTTCATTTTAATAATACAAATTTAAATATATATTTATTGGAAGCAAATTACTATAGTAAAATATAAAAACTGAGAAAAAACGCCAATGACCCTCTAGAGTAGAGGCGAATACAAATAAAAAAAAAAAATTTATATTTTATTGTTTGTATCTTTTTATGCAGGAAAGTAAACAATCAAAAAATTAATGAATAAAACTGAGCAGAAATAAACTTAAAACTAGGCTAACGAATAACTTAAATGCCGCGGTATAACTGATAAGCTATCTTTTCAATTTTCTGTCACATTTTATCACCGTCATCTTAAATTGTACAATGACACACAAATTTTTGTATACTTAGTCATTTTTTTCAGGTGAAGCCATGATATCACGTGTTTTTAAATTGTTTATCGTTCGGCGAAAACTAGGATGAATACGAAAGTAGCAGTCCGGGCATCGGCGATTTCTCTCCCAACGTGAACTCGTAGTGCCGCTAGACCAGTTCGTTCACTTAAAATATTTTGTATTAATTGATTAAAATATTAATTAATTTCATCAATTACATTTTATTAAAACGAGTTGAGAGAGGGACACGTCAAAAGGACGCTTTTAAGCATTGTGATAAAAAAAAAGTTCATTTATTCCTAAAAAAAAAGTGGAAAAGAGATTGCAACAAACAATAGATATACAAAATCTGATTAAATAAAATGACCATTAAGACAGTAATTACCCATACTTTTTAAAGATAATTAACACCTAAAAAAATACAAAATAACTTTAAACCTTCTTTTGCATATTATTTGTTTTATTTTTTGCAGGATGTTTTCATCATCTCACTCTCATATTTTATTTGCAAAAATACCATGTTATCATCTTAAAATTTCACACACTCTAACACATTCTAAAAAGTTTCTATTGTGAACTTGCTTCTATAGTTGTCATGATTATGGACGCAGATCTATACATGCTATATATACACAGAGAAGATCCAGTAGTTGTAATAAGTTAATAAATAATTAATAAGCCATATAATTATATTTAGTTTTTTAATTAATTTAGTAAATGAGGAAATGTGGTGTCACTATCAGAGCTAAAAATTAATTTTATTTTCAGGTTTAATTGAAAATGTATATATTTGTACCACGTGTATAATTTATTAAAGTATTAATCAGTAATTGCAAACGAGTAATAAAGTCATTATAGTGTGCATAAAAGCGATAAAAGATTGTTGGGTCTCTAAACTAAAAAAAATAGCACAAAGAACATTTGACAAGGAGCCAAACATACACCAGTGAGAAAGTTTAAAAATTTTAAACAAAGAATCTAGAAGCCAAACCTTTAATTTAGCATATGATATTTTTATTTATTTTATTTTGTACGAAACATTAATTTAACCTTTATCATATATAACAAGAATATGATAAAGAGATAGATTAAATTTATATGTTTAATAAGTAGCTTATTATCTTACCAATAATAATGAAGAAAAATTTAACATTCTTTAACTTAATAAGAACTAATACTAAATTTTTCTCGCGGTACTAATTCATATTTGTTTCTTATCTAACCGAAATATTCCTTTTATACTTGTAAATTTATTTTTATTTGAAAAAAAAATCCTTGGAAATTTATTTTGGAAAATAAATTAAACGCCCAAATTTGATGTTGATTATTTTGTATAATGTATTAATAACAATTGCTGAATACTACCCATATGTCATCTAGCTTAGCTGAGTTGATTATTAATTTAAATTATATTCATTTCTTTAATATTTAATTTGTATTTGCTTAGAAAAAAAACCTACCTTTTAACAATTATTTTTCAACCTAAAAATCAATTAACAACCGAAAAATAGAATTAATATTAAAAAAATAAAATATTTCAAATATTATGATGATAATTATATTAATCTAATATTACGATAGTAATTATGATGATACTAATAATAAAACCATTCAATAAAAAGTTCTGTGCTAAGTAGAAGTAATTAGAATTTTTGTTTCTAATATTTCTCATTTACGTACGTTCTACTTCTTTTTTCGCTATTAACTCTTCTTTAAAACTGAATATAATATTTTTTTATACAAAAATATATTATATGTATATGAAACGATTAAATTTTATAGATTTAGACAGGACATTAAAATTTAAAAAATAATTATAAATCATTGAATTAAATCCAATTTAATAATAAAAAGAAGTAAGTCTATTTATGTCTGATAAACAAGAGAAATCTGAATTTCAGAGATTCTTTTTTTTTTTTTTTTTTTTAATAGCTTATTTATTGAAATATATTACAATCTGTCTCAGGGACATTAATAATAGTGTTCACAGATCACATTCACACTCTATATACAGTAAATAAAATAAATTATACAGAAAAATAATATATATACAATAAACAAGAAAAAAATAACCTAAAAATAAATAAATAAAAAGAACACATGCACACCTACATACAATATTTACAACTTGGCGAGAGAACTCCAAGCCAGACTTGTCCCTCCAACTGTGGAGGGAAAAGTATGACTCCAGGAGTTCCCTGCACTCCTCTCTCAACCGCGTCACTAGGGCTAAACCCAGTGGAGAAGAGATTCTTTGTGGGATAATTGGTGTGAAATTCTCCTGTTTCTGAAATATATGACTCTGTTGCTATTTTCGTGGATGAGGTTTGCTATCTTTTTTATGTCTTCGTTGAACAGCGTTCATGATGGCCGAAAGTGTTAAATGTATTAAAGTAAAAAAAAAAATTAATAATAGTCTTCATAGTAGAAACGGTCTCAAAATTCAGCAAATTCAAGTTCTCAAGTACTACAAGCATGTATTTATTATTAAATATACATATTATAAATATTATTATATTAAACTGTGCTGTATTTACATTTTAAAAAATCTAAAAACACATCTAGTATTATATTTTATAAAAAAGCATTGTAATGACAACAAATAATGTTTTGCCAAATTTAAATTAATATAATTTACAGATTTCTTTGAACATCTATCAATATAAAAATACATCAATATCAATATAAAATTTTAAATTAATATATTTAGCAGATTATTGAGCAACGAAATAATTCGTCACTAATCAGGACATATTGGCGATCGTCAATGATGGATGTGTAAACAATCAAGATATGTAAGCCATCTGTAATTGATCTAGGAATTATCTACAATACAATGTGATATTTTGTAAACAATAATCATTTCAAAATGAAAATTTCATTATATCCTGTTACAAAATTAAATAAAAGATCTTTGAAGTAAGATCTTTAAATAATTTAATTTGGAGTAATGTTGTAAATACCGAGGAAAGCAATTTAAGAATAATTAAACCAAAACATCTTATCAAAAAGATTTATAATTGAAATCACAGAAAAAGTACGGATTAGTTTTTTTTTTAATCTTTAAATGCTAATTTCTGTATTTTATTTTTCTGTCAGTGGCTGTATAACTTGTGTTAGCTTTCTTACAACTTTATGTATCATAAAAAATATAAATTATAAATACTTCTGTTTTGTGGTTTGCAGGATCTTAAATATCGGACCAATCATGTAAGATTATTATTTTAAAAAATTCATAATTGTGGATTTATGGTGGGCTGTAATGAATAATTTAAGAGATTGGTTTGGGTATTCAATAAAAAAAGTGTAAAAAATAAATAAATTATACGTATTTTATTTTGCCCACGTTTCGGTCCAATGTTCAGGCCTTCATCAGGGCAATAGCGAATCCAGGATTTAAATTAGGGAGGGACTTCAGCCCGATAGGTTTTTTTTTTTCATATATATATATATATATATAACGATAATTACTTTAGAAATAAAGAAAAGAAATTAACTGTCTATATGAAATGGTGTTCAAGTGATACGTATAAGTCCTATTAAATATAATTACACGAACAATAATACTTTAAGAGACAATTTTTTCCATAAAACAGGATTACATTTCACCATTTTGTGGGAGGGGGAGGAGGAGGGAGGTAGCTTTCGGGCTGAAGTAGATCTGCCTGTCTTGCGGAAGTCTGACCCTCCCTGATGGGCTGAAACGTCGGTAAAAATAAATATAAATATAATTTATTTATTTTCACATTTTTTTTTTTTTTACTGAACATCCCAAACCAATCTTCTCTTAAATTAAAAAAAAAAATCATTCATATCCTACTTATTCCATGAATGGAATTTTTCAAAAAATCTCCTGGAGATTTCTTAGTGAAAGTCACGGAATATCATAAAATAATCTGGTGTGCCCCTTGAATTTAAATACATTTAAATAAACAGA